TTCGGAACAGCATCTTTTGCCATAGCGCTACATCACACACGCTGTAGCATCCAACCCAGATTATTTGTTATTTAACTTGAGTATTTGGAAATGTGAAAAAGGGATCAAAACGCACTTCTTCTTTAGAACATGTAACCAGAACTTCATGGATTTAACCCCGGCCATCTGAATGGAAGTCAAACTGATAACCACTTGGCTAAATCCCTCGGATAACACAACAATATAAAAGTAAAATAGATTGTCTACATGAAACAAGATTATTATGAAGTAGTCTTCTTCATCCATATGAAAAGTGATAACAAACAAAATTACACATACATGCAGTGCTATCTCATCCAGTATGTCAAAATGGATTCCATGTAATACATCTGCTTTGCTAGTGATTGGAGGGAGAGGTATTGGTGTTCCGTCGGCCAGGATTGTGCCTGTTCGGAGTTTCAGTTTCTTCTGGAAATCAAAAACAAAGTTGTTATTAATAGATATTGCAGCATTACCAAACGTTGTGATCCGAAAGTGCACTGGTTACCTGTACGATACAGGTCGCAGTACAAAATTCTGGTATACACATACAAGACACTGAATGGAACAGCTCCTCAGTACCTACAGGAGCTTGTTACCCTGTATCAGCCGTCAAGATCACTGCGGTCGGAGTCAGAATCTTTGTTGTGTGTCCCAAAATCTCGTACTGAGACCTACGGAAACAGATGCTTTGGGAGGGTTTCGGCTACGTTGTGGAATAGCTTACCATCTGCTATTAGGAAGTCAAATACCCTGGCCAAGTTCAAGAGGGACATAAAAACTCACCTCTTCACGTCTGCATTTTAGAATCTTTGCAAAGACGTCATGTAAATACCACCCTTTTAATTGTTCAATTATGTACACAGTGCTTGTTAAATGTATGAAAGTGATTGCAAGCCTTTGTTGTTTGTTTTCACAATTATAAATATTACTATTATCCATATGTTGTAAAGCGCCTTAGAGTAATTTTACAAATTATATAGGGCGCTATATAAATGTTGTATATTATTATTATTAAGTGAATTAATTTCTTAATGAATGCAAGCCTGCCTTGTAAACTAAGGCAGTGACATAAGAATTAGAAGGCATACAAACTGTCAAATTGAACCTATCCTGTCATTTTTATCAAAAGATTAAATGATCAGTCTATAGTGGAAACGTCGAGTCCTGATTGTTATAAAGTAAAACATTTCCACGGATTGTATGATTTTCTGACTCTTGTATCTATGTTGACACTGGTATCTCCAGGAAGTCAACATTTTAGCACGTGTCACATGGAACATTCTGCGTACAATGAACTTTCCTGATGGTCATTTTCTTCAAGAATTGGTCGAACACTGATAGTAGTATTAACTTGCAACAGGACTCGTCAAATATCGAGTTTTTTTCATCTTCTCGATCACGTGGGTTTTCTCCGGGTTCTCCGTTTTCCTACCATATTATGACCCTCTAAGAACTTTCTTACAGGCCAGCAAAAGTGACTAATATAGGTTAGAAAACTTGTTTCATAAATGTAAAATAAAATAAAATTTATATTCATTTATATTAAATTTATAAGAATTGATAGAAAATTTATTATCTTACCAATACTATAAGAACATTGTATAGTAGGACATACTGGTATTAACAAACCCCTTTTATATGCCTTATTTCAGTTATAAGAATCACGATGACGGAATCAAACGTAATCCGGTTCATATAGCTGTTTTCTATTATTGAAGAATTATACTAAGACTCGAACCTCTGAATGAAATAAAATATCTTTCATTGCAACATACAGCAAGTATTTTTTACAAATAACATTAAAGAGCCATACACAGATGATTGAACTAAACTGCAATAGCCAGAATGTGTATGAGCAGAAATTGTACAATTGATCTTACTACAAATATATGTTCTCAATATACATCGAATGGTTGTTGGTATCACATATATAAGTAACCCTTAATACCTTTCATATTTATTTCCATTTTCTGTCCATAAACAAATAGTATACTGTACCGGTTTTTGTACTGGTCTTTTGACGGTTGATGTCCCTAACGATGATTGGCTACTTCTCGATGAATTAGACCCCATGTTGTGTTTAGGTAATTAGACCAGACTGATCATGTTCAGGAGTCTCCAAAGACATGACTCCATAGAAATCCCATGGCGACAGCAACATCAGAACACATTTTTGTCACGGTATTTTTAACAACTGAAATTCCATGCTATTACACAAAGACATTTGTCTGTTGTAGTTAACTACACAATCAAAGACATATACAATCAAGGTCGCCCTACACTGGAATATAGAAAGACAACAGCTCCGTTGGCATTTCGCTTTCACAGTTGCAGTTTAAGGACGAACAAGCAACAACGGAACACATTAGAAGTATCAGTCTCTCCGAAGATGGGCCCAATAGAAACGCACTGGTCTAATTTTAAAGAATAACCGTAGAGTTTCATTTGTCAACTTTTCTGCTCGATACCGTAGTCATTAGTGCATAAAGTAGCTACAGTCACTATGTTTAACTAATAAACCTCGGAATTATTTCTTCCTACTGAAACTCCAGGCTATAAGGTCAAATCATACAATAAAATCGTATCAAGTACAATATTCCAGCAATCGTTTTAATTTAGGCTGTAAGTCGATTTAACGGTTTGAGTATGGTTAAGTTTAATTCTACCAGGCGTTATTAATTTTTATTGTAGGAACTGGGTTAATCGTATGGGGATTAGTAGAAAGCCCTATTGATATACAGATTAGCGTTGTACTTACTAATGCGATAAGATGTAAGATTTAGTCTACAAGTTTACGTGAATTAATGGCATATAATATAATAATTATGTCAATGGCTCAATGATCAACAGCTAAACAAAATGTACTCAATTCGATTGTTTCATTGGAGATCGCAACAAAACGTAATCGATATCAGTTACGATTGAATACGTAATGCATATATTATTCTTTTTCATTGGTTATCCCATCAAAGAACACAACAAAATTTACTCCGTATTAATAATCTTATCAAATATCACAACAGAATATCCTCTTTATTGGTAATCTCATCGAATTTCTCAACACAAAGTACTCAGTATTGATAACGTCATCGTATTTTGCTTTAACCACATCCCAAACGGGGATATAAAACATCATATCTCCCAGCAACATGTGCTTGTAGTAGACAACACATCATTTTCCCGACAGCGTGTGTCTGTTCAGAGTCTCACACTTGGTATGTGACGAACTAATACCCTCCTTAGATAAATGTAGCGTTATCATTTCAAACGGAAATATAATAATAAATGATACATATTTTATGTAAGTTATTTATTTCACACACGAAAAATAGGGTTCAATTCAAGAAACAAACCATCATAATTAATTCCCTACTACCAGGACAATTTACATAATAGCATGATCACTATTTGAAATAACAGTTACTGTGTTACCTTAATAGAAGTATGATTTTATCAATAAACGTACACTACCTTATGGTGGCTTTAATATTGTGTGGTACACAGTCTAGCAATCGATTCTATAGTATGTCATCCTCGATACTTCAGGGGTTACACTCACTTTCGCTCTGTGCAACCTGGAATATGTCATAGCAAAATTGAAGGCACCGGCTAGCTAGTCTCAGGTGAAAAAAACCTGACTAATCGCTAGGCTGATGCCTTTCCTTTGAATATTACAGTTGAGCGACTTCAAAGCCAGACATCTTTACTGTTATGCGACCGCGAGCAAGCAAGCCTTTTTGCATCATCGTCAAGACTGTGCACACGGAGACTTTAATTTTGCCCTGACATATTCCAAGGGTGCATAAAACATAAGTGAGCGTAACACATGGAGTATCGAGGATGATAGTATGGTTCACTGACTAGCAGTTGATGATATAAATGTAGGATGGTACACCAATTAGCAGTTGCTTTTATATAGAATAGAACGCTCTCTTGTTGTTGCTTTCATATAGTGTAATACGCTTTCTAGAGGTTGCTTTAAGTAGTATAGTACGCTGTCTAGCCATGTGGTGGTAATGGTTGTTCGTTTATATGTTACACTGCTTTGTGGTGGCTTAAACAGTACGGTACACTGTGTATTAGTGGATTCTATTGTATGGAACACTGTCTAGTTGATTGCCGATACACCTCTAATCTGCCTTGTCGTTACGTGCTTCTTGTTCATGTATTTGTCGGGAATGATATGACATCCCATCTATCCATAGCTTCAATAAAAGAAGCAAAGACAGCTTCCAAAGATCCAATGTTCAATATGTCCGCATTGTATGTATTAGTTTATATTCCCGTTTTATTTATTTTTATTTCACAATATATTTAACCTTAAAGGGTTTTTAACTAGTTGGAACAAAACATTTATATCAATACACATTATTGCATTACTTTATATTTGTTCTCGGATATTTAACCAACTAATCTATACCCTGTTGTTACTGTACTCAAAATTTAGACCAATCGTAATAGAGCTGATCTTGGCTTATTAACCACTTCCTTGGTAACTAATTGATTACGTCATTATCTTCTGTTCCTCATCACATGACCTCAATGGTCGCTCAAACTTTATCATGTGACAGTCATGGGAATATTGTGCCCTGACGACGGCCTGACAGGCCAAAACATGTCGGAATCCAGGCAAACGAAGAGTATACGTTATGGAAGCCAGGGTCCATGAGTTGCTTATCTTCCTTCTTCTTTCCTTTCCAATTTTGTGAGAAATTAATATTTGAAAACCTTTCTGAACATGTACTGTTGACTTTGACTTGTACAAACGAACCATGAAAAAATAATAATTGATATTTTAAACTTTCATTATACTACCCATTGATGATATATATGTGTTAACAAAGAATTTCAAAAACTTAATTCTTTTTATTTTGCAGACAATCGGTGAATATTTATATTACAATTAGATATGTCTGCCCATCTTACCATTTCCTTCAACTTTATCTTAGATGAAATAGAACAATACAAACCCAGATGTATTTTTTTCAGTGTTTTATTTTGACAACATGATAACAGATCGTTAGACTTAGATGAAAATTTGATACAGAAGAAATATCTAAAAAATATATAAGCAGTATGTTTGTCTTTCATCAACATGGCAACGATTTACAATATCAAAATATCAATCAAATTCAAATAGGACGGATTATATGCTTAGAAACAATAGATTCAGCAAAACATTTTCCTCTATCAAAGTGGACGGATAATATGCTTAAATCATCAAAATAAAAAATAATCAGCAAATTTTACATTATATGTTTTCATTAAAAGTTGAACCAAAAAATGCACTACAATAAAAAATTATACAGATAATAGTACGCACATACATGTATAGCAAGCCATATCAATGTTTAATACCAAGTTTATGTGATATCTCTCAATGAATACAGATATATCTTTAGGTATTGAATATTAATTAGCTTGCCATACACACAAGATTTTTATGTCATCTTAAATGCAACAACTTTTGTTTATTTTTAATGTTCAGATTTATCCTAGAACATCTATAGAAATTCCTCAGATCATTTACAAGAAGTTATAAGCAAATAATAATTCAAGAAGAAATAGAAAGTAAGCGACTAAAGTAATATATACTAATATAATTACAACTGATATTGAAAAAGAGGATATAAACTAAGTTATTACTACAGATGATAATATCATAATTTGCGTTTAGTAATAGACATCTAGTGTTGCAATCACCAACATCTTACTGAAGCTGATTTAGCCCTTGTTCTTGACATTGACCTTGTTGATCGAACAGACCTAAGAGATCGTGTCGATCTGAAACTTCCAGTTCTTGAGTCTGGCAACATTGACAAACTACCATACTGGGACATTGTTGTAGATGGACGAACAAACCGGAAATGCATGTGTGCAAGTGCATGGTGCCTGTCCAAGCCCAGATCTTTAGGTGGACCGAAGTCCTTGAGGAAATCCATCATAACATCAGACAGAAACATTGGTCTCCCAGCATCGGCAATGTTGAAATCCCTCCAGGTAAAATTACCGGGACCAGATGGACTGAAATATCGTGCCAAGCAAGGGAAGCATGAGTTCATAGTGATTATTGCTGTTATTAAAGTTTATTTTAACATTCATAAACAGGTAAAAAAAAATAAGATATATTACTAAAGTATGGCATGTTAGACAGGCAAGATCTTATATTGTATACATCATTAACAGATGTAAATTCTCTTCTGTTCTCTTCTCCCCTGTTTTATCATTATTCATTTGTACTATTAACATGGATATTACTTTATATATAAACGGAAATCAATCACTTTTAAAGCAAAGGTATCATCGTCTCAATTGCGTTTTGGAACTTGCATCACAAAATCAAAGAGACATACACGATGTACATCAGTTAACTACATCAATTACAACAGTTTTTAAAGGTAGAATGCTCCAGCAATTAAGCAATTATTTTTCAATACGCTGTAATATTAGCGTACAGACGGTCCAAATTGTATATGTGCCATCTTTGTCTAGTAAATCAGGAATATATATTCTGTGAAATTATGAAAAGTGAAAATCAAACGCTAATAGAAGTGTAGTTATATTGGTATACAACGCTAGAATGCGACATTGGTACGTCATAATCAATCTTCTCAAATTCAGATTTAAGTTTTGTCTTCCTTGCCTGCATTCTACCTTTATCATTGCCACTTACTTAAGTCTTGTCCAACAAGACGAACAAAAAAGTACATTTCGTACGTACGTAGGTATATCCTGATAAACCAGTACATCTGTGTAACACTTCCAACCAACATACGATTGGTAACATTCTAAAGAATACAGTAATAATTTGTTTTGACTTCATAAATCACATACAATCGTTTATATACAATATTGATAACATTATGTTTGTGTATCTTAAATGTTTCTCTTGGTAAGAGAAAAAACTGAAAATCGTCGCCCGATACCAAAGTAAAAGTATGAATCTGAATGAAATTACTACAGTATGAAAAATATATGAAGTTTTTGATCGTGTACATAACATACTATTACTCACTATAACATGTGGACTAAACCCATTAAAGTAAGGCCTTATATCCATCTATTCGGAAGCTGACAGAAACAAGAGTGTACCTTACTAAACACTACAGATATAATTTATGACGTATCAATGTTTCCTTTTATGACCATTCAGAGTTAAGATTAAATGAAGATTAACATTAAAAAGTTAATTCATTTAAGGCTGGATATGCATCTTTTTTTATATCTATGATATGCAACATAGTTCCAGTAAACGTTCGCGGTAAAAATCTTGGAGCATATGATCATAAGCAGTAAATATTTGCATATCAATTCTTATATGTAACAAGGACATTATTATGGCGTTGATTTTTCTGGTATTTGCAGTTTATTATTTAAAAAAAAAAAAAAAAAAAAAAAAAATGCCAGTTTCGTCAGACTGCAACCGTAAATCGGAATTTCTGTCATAATTTGAATTTGACGTAATGTCATGATCGATCGTCAAATACTCAAACAATTTGACGGAAAAAAAAACATCAACAACAATTAAAAGAATCATTTTGATGTGTAGGTTTATCTTAGGGCGTTACAAAAGGAATGTAAATATTTAGTATTCTATTCCTCAGCGGTATTAACTCTAAATGGTCACCGAAAGGTTGATAGATATAGCAATATATAAAATAGTGAAGTTTATTTAGTAAATGTGTGTGCATACCCCAAGCTTATTAACCTTCTGCATTATAAAAGAACAAGATATTTGAAAAAAATGGACAAAGTTAAGCAAGCTACCATTGAAATAATAAATATTGAGTGGCATGAAACCGTCTTTTGAATTATCAAAGAACTAGCTGGGGTACACATGACGTCATGATGCACTTATATAATACGTGTCTAGTGAGTCCGGATGTTAGATCTTTCGTCGTGACCTTGTGGTGACCTTTGCTGGTATTATCGCTTCTTGTTTGGTACTGACTTTGTTTTCTTTGACCCGCCCCCTGCCATTCCATCCTTGACCTGTGCTCCTCCTGTGTTTTCAACCTCCTCAATCATTCCCTTAGACTGGAACCAGAATATTCAGTAGATTAGAATCTATTTGCAAGCCTCGATATCAGCCTATTAAATTGTCTTTCGTTATATATTAGTCCTTTTGATGGGGGAAATACATTGGCATATACGTTACATTTAAGAAGCAAATATTTGATTTGAATTTTTCGTGTATCCTAATATTATTTCTGTCAAAAAGAAATGGTTTTGTATAGTTACAAACCCAACTGAAATATATGCGGTTTATTTTTGCATTAAAATTTACATGAAAAACAAAGAAAAACACATTAAAAAGTATGGGACATAACAGTGTTCTTTAAAAGTGTCGGAGGATTTCAACTGAATGATCTCTAACTCAACACCGAATCTGACTTGTTGACCTACCCAGACATAGAATGTAGCCGCCCCGGCACTAACGTCACGAATCGTCTCCAAAGAGTATGGTTCTATGGCCTTTCGCGCCGCTAGAGCCACGTCAAGGAAACAGTCCTTCGGATCAAACTGCGAAATTTTTCTCATAACAGATTCCTTTCCAGATTTACCAAGGATAGCCTGGCAGGTCCTCCAAACCTGTCACAGTGAAACAGTACCTAATTACACAGTTGCGTACCAAGCACAAAAAAAATCTTTCTCTGCAGTTAATTGAGATAATTTTTATGTGTATATAATTTGGTATTAGGTGCTAAATGACAGTATCAAACACATCAAAGTATATCATAAATTATTAATTGGAGGAATATCGTAACTTGAAATTTCATAAGGTGTAGGCGAAGTACTTAATGGCTCTCTTCGAAGATGTATAAAGTAAAAAAAAAACCTTTATTATACATATATATGTATATAAACAATTATTTTTTATAATAAGGGATAATCTTGCCTCACAAAATTCGGATCTTGCCAAATTGTACCGATTTTTGTTAGTTTGTGGGACACTGACCTTAACGTCTTTTTTGGGATTCCCAAGCAGCAAGAATGTGGCCATCAGGGACTGGTGAACGCCGTCTGGAGGATTGCTGTACGTTCGGATCTCCGAAACCGTCTTCTGGTCCATACTGAGCACTGAGTGGCGCAGCTTTTCGATCCTCATCAACTGATCCTTAAGGCGGGACGCCATGGCGATCTGGAGGTCCAGCAAGTTGTCGTAGTTGGCGGCTTTAGCACGCTCTATAGCACTAGTTAGTGCTTTCAAATCTCTCTTGGACGAGGCACTGTTCAAATCTGCAATACATAGTCATATATAAATAACAGTAAAATGATAAATAAGGCAAAATAAAGCACTGACATAAATGATTAAACTACAAGATATTTCACAGCAGCAATATGAACCAGTAATTTGGTATCATGAATATAAAACGTAACAACTAGCTATTCGTATCCACGTCTACCATTTCACGATTGGTAAGGCTGGCATAAATTCGGGATAACAAAGAGGAAAGAACAACAACAATGCATATGTTATATCAAATAATGCAAAGGAACGATTGGCTAGAAAAAGATGCATGCATACCTTGTTTGGCTTGTAATAGCTCCAGTAGTCTTTTGGCCTTTTTGATAAGTGGGTCCTTGTCCATATCCGGTGGATCTGTTGATTCATATGCAAACAGACCACGTGTCAACAATTCAATGTCTTTTAAGTCCATAGCTCTTTGGATCATCTTCTTGGCCGTTCGCCTATTTTTCTCCTCGTCTGTCTCTCCATACGAGGCTGTGTCTTCCTCTGGTTCCATGCCAAGATTGGACATCAGAAGTTTAGCATTGTCTTCGAATAACTCTGATGCCGGTTTCCTATCTACCTGATACTTCGCGATATGTTTTATAATTCTACTGCCTGAATCCCTCTGGTATAAATCCAACATATAATCGCCATACTCTTCCATTTTTGCGCTAAAGAACTTCATCAGATCTTGCTTAACAACCTTAACTTCGTCGTCATTAGGAGGGTCATTCGCATGTCGTCGTTGGTACGATGCCAGAACTTCGTCATATCCGTGTGGAATAGGAATCAGGATCTCGCTGTCTGATGTCTGTACCGTCTCCATAATGATTTTGCTTTCGTCTGTGTCACTTGACACACTCTTAGAGTCGTCTCCTTTCTCATTGCCCACTGAATGTCCGTCAGAGGCTACCAGATAGCTGTGTGTATTGTATACCCTCGGTCCTCCATTCTTCTGTCGGGTGAACACATTTATAGAATATTCGCCAGCAACTGGTAAATCACAATCAAATGTCCATTTTCCATTCACCTCCCTTACAATCATGCTCATTTGTTTCGTTGCCTCAGCGTCAATGGTATGGAGCTCACATAGTAGATCCAAATTGTTCTTGGCAATAAAATTCATTTTTAATTTTCCATCTTTCGTTTCAAGCTTTGAGTTCGTATGACTCATCATTTTAACTCCTAAAACATCTGCAAATGGTTTCTTGCCTAACCTACCGTCAATGATATTCGGAAACGGTTTGTTGTGAATTTCATTGTTAAGGCTCTGTATGAGGTAGTTGAGGACATTTTCCGCGTCTCCTCCCTCGCCCTCGTCATTACAGTAAAGCTTTATACCATACTCGCCTGTCTGTGGAAGGCGAATGCTGACTATAAACTCGCCGTTCTCTTCCCGCACCAGGGCATACTTGCTCAACGTTGCCTCGTCAACCATGGTGTTCTTGAGCAGCTGATGTAGTTGTACATCTTTGTGCGATCCCAATTTTATATCCACTACGCCGTCTTCTGTTGTGATGACGGCACTGCCGTGCGACTTTGCTGTCAGTCCTGCCTTCTTTGCGTCAGCTCCTGGACCCCAACCTATAGCAGGGCAATCAGGAAGAGGTTGGCAGTTCTTTTGTGGCGTTGAACAACTGATCACATACGTACATGTAAGGTCAAAAATGTCCGAATCGCGAACATCCAATCCAAATATGTCCATCTTAAACTTCCCTTTCATAGGGAAACGCAGTGCAAATCGAAGAGTTTCGGCTGTGTGTTCAAACATAACAAATCTGTCTAACACCATATCTGATGTTTGATCACCACCACTTGACTTTGCCTGGTACAACATATACTTGTACCGGAAGTGCTCGCTGTCACGGAAGGGTATGTTGAATGCTAACTGAACAACCCCGTCATCTGCGTTAAGCAAGCACTTTTGCTCGCTGTTTTCGTTAAAAGACATTCCAAGGTAGTAGAACCGTTCTCTAACGTACACATGAGTTTCAAATTCTTTTGTTGTTATTTGTGTTTCTAACAGTTGCCACTGCCCTTCGTCCGGGAAATGTGTCCATATGAACTGCTTTGGGTCTGGTAAAAAGTAGAACTCATTGATCCGATGCTGAGTTTCTCCGTCAGATGTATCATCCTCGTCCTGGGTAATGTTCCCATCAGAGTCGATTAGCGTCCATTCCCCGGACTTCTTCCCTACCACACAAGCAGATGCCCAGAATGCATCGAGGAACCGCCATTCTCCCTTAACATATACGGCATTCCACTGAGCCCCCATACTTTTGCGATCCACCTTACCGCCAACCTCAAAGGCGGCACTCTTGTTCATGCCACTTATTATCACACAGGGAATACCTGCCATTCTGCCAACGAAACAATTGGTTATGAATAATTTATGATGTTTTTTAAAAATGAATTTTCATTTACTACCATCACAATTCGATTACACAATTTAATTATTCAAAGGATTTTATCTTATTTTTATTAGTTATCTGTCGTTGACTGAACACGTTTATATCTAAACTTGCTTAAAGGGATTATAAACTAAATGTACCATACTTCTATCAAACTTACTGACAGAGCCATTGTATCATACTAACTTGCAGAATACTCGTACAAATTGACAGAATCTCCGTACGATATTGACGAAATACTCGTCCCATACTGGCAGATTACTCGTATCATACGAGCTAAAACCTCGCACGATACTCATATCATACTGGCAAAGTATTCGTATCAGACTGGGAAAGTACTTGTACCATATTGGCTGAGTACTTGTATCATTATGGCAAAGAAGAGGTACGATATTGGCAAAGAACTTGTAGCATACTGGCAAAGAACCCGTACCATACTGGCTGAGTACTCGTTTCATACTGGCAGAGTACTTGAACTGTATGGGACATTTATCATCCTTCCTGACAAAGTACTCTGAGCATACTTACTGACAGAGGCCCGAAATAAGATGAGCATGATTTCCGAGGTTGTTTTTGATCTTGAGGAAATATTCGAGAGGGGACTGTGGAGGAGGCTCCTCTTCTACCACGAGGGCGAACACATCGATTGATGTCACCCATCGGAAGATAGCTCGAGCCTTGGCCACATCGTCCCAATTCTCATTAGCGGTTAGGTACTTAATGAGATCCTTGAATGAGCCCATTAACACACTTGTGGGTGCCTGCAAACAAAAATGTCATTCCAAGTTAATCAGTTTAGATCCGAAAACTTCAAAGAAATTTCGCAAACTTTTTTATCTTCAAGACCAGTGTAACTCTCTTGCGAAGGGGAGGTGTTTTGAACATTAGTCTTGTGAAAGTTCAACGTTTAACAATTGTCATTTGTTAAATGTTGCAATGTTCATGTTTACGTTATAAAAATGTATCTGAACTCACATTAAGTACGTATGTCTCGACATGTCTGTAGTCATCGACCAAGAACACCTCATCCTTTGCCATCTTGGATGGTACGGGAGGAGGTAACTTGGTTTTCTTGGCGTGGTCATCGCCATTTCCGGCAGCTGTCCTTGTTCCCTGTAATCGAACACACGGCTACATAATCAGACGAAATAGTCTAATCAAATCGTTAATACAAAAACAATTATCAAAATAACAATATTAATCCATCAGTATTATTATACAGCAACATATTCAATATTGAATTGGGCTTTTAATTTTGGTTACAATTTAAGCCATGGAATTTGTTCAAATGTAAAATTAAAAATATTATCAAGACATGTAACTATATATTTGCATCAACCTTCAGTATTTCCAAAAGTTCTTCTGTATTGAAGTAGATTACTTGACTTAAATATATGAAGCATCATTCAAGACATATCAATATGCATGTTTGTAGTAATATTACAATACGCATGCATCAGTAATATCTAACATGAAACGGAAACGTGCAACTACATTATTAGTAGGTAAATCTAAAAATACAACGTGGTGTGACCCCACCTAATGATTATGTTAATGTTACCATCTGTGAACCTGACTAAAACCCTAACTAACGTGAATATATAGATCGGATATATCTATATAAAAAATCCAGCTGTAAATTATAAGAATGAGTGATACAATTCATCAATTCATTACTACTGCAAAAGGTAAACTTATGAGTATGAATCTTAAACATTAATTATGTATGAATTAATAGTCTGGCTACTCCACATGTTAGTTGGTTTTAATTCGTTTGATTCGTCACGATTATACGTGCATGAAGTTTCTATCAACAAATATAATAAGATTGTGTTGAGCATTTTTTTAACTTCTTTTGACCTGTATGCAGTAACCTAAATAGGGTTAAATGTTTTAAGGAAGAAACAATAGAGAGCATTTACTATGATCATAACAACAAGTAAATAAATAATAATAATAATTCGAGGTTCGAGGTCGTCTCAAAGCGGTTTACAAATTATTATCGGTGGTTATAGGGCCTATGCAACCAGCCAATATCTTTCTCAACTCCCTGGGGTTCATACAACCGGTGCTGCCATTTCAGCGCTCACAGCAAGCATTCAATAAGTCCAGCACTGCCCAACCACGTACTTATTTACAATAGACTGGAATAAGCGGAGTAAAGTATCTTGTTCAAAGATACAACACAGTGCCGTGACGTGACTCGAACCCGCAACCCTTCGGTCACGAGCCCGGCGTCCTACCACTAGACTACCGTGCCTCCAATAAAGACAAAAGAAAAGAAATAACAGGAATATAAAGTAAAACGAATCCTAGATACTATAATGAGTCATTTATATTTTTACAAACAAACATTTCTATCAATTTGTATTATTTTTTTCGATAATAAAACAGTATATGTGCAATTCCCTTTTATCTGAACAAAAAATTAACAATTCAATTATGGAACATTACCGTATTCAGAAGAAAAAAAATGAACCTACAAAAGCATTGGGGAAAAATGGCCAACGCTTTAAGTTATTTCATAAACCTAACATTTGTTAATTATTATATTTATAATAATTACTTTTTATTTATTGTTTATTGTGACATTTATTTTGAACAGTGTTTCCCTACTATCAAGTGATACTTAAATATAGCAGAGTCATTTCCGTGCATTTCAAGTGGGAATTTTATAAATGCCCGAGTTTTACCTTGTTCTATGTACATTAATGGGCTGGCAAATGAAATCTAAAACAAACAATTCATTTAAAGTTTAATACTGCATTCCTGGTCAGATAAACTGGCGGTATTATACATTGATCTACTTGTATTCTGAGTGATATGGTTTTGGCTTAGTCATTCTTGTCTAGCCAATTAGGTGTGTGCTGATAACGGTTCTCAATAACATTTAAGTGCTGATATGACTCTCAACCGCACCAGTACAATTACAACGCTGTGGGTGCTGCATGATGAAGGATGAGACCCTTGTATATTAACAATCCTTAAATCGTATATCCTTAAATCAACTTTATCTGGAGATTAAAGGGTAGTGTTCTCAATAATGACTCATATACTGCAAACTTCACTCCCATCAAACCCTTATATATATCATCGGCAGCCGCCAGGTAAATGGTGCCAGCATACGGCTATATACAATCAGGAAAACTTGATCAAACATGAGACTCATTTCACTTATGATATATGTGATGTCTTTATATTATTAAGTTTGTACACTTAATAAAGAAAAAGTAAGTATTTCGTGCTTATAAGTCTTGACAAATTGTTTTTAAGGATCCTTATCCCACTGAAGGCCAAACACTTAAGATTCCACAGTGGCTTTTTGTATACAGTAACCTCCCTGAATCTCTTTTTCGAAATAACTTTTCTGTAGCACAATAAGGCTGATGTACTTCCGTTGACCAGGCTACTCAGTTGGTTAAAGTGAAAGTATAGCAATCTGAGGTCTAGGGTTCTTGTCCTAGTCAGGCCATGATGACTTTTTACACTCAGAACACTGATTACATTTTGTTTATTATTATTTCATAAAAGCCCCTTCATGTATGTTTAATTTTTCAGAACTGGGGGCAGGACATTTTTGTTTTCTTCTATAAACTGCATAAACCGTCTTCTAAAGTTGGAAAGAAAAACAGTATCATTAACATTAACCCAAGATAGATTTATAGAATTTATAGTTATGTCGGGGATCTTTAAATCTATGCTTATTGTCATTTGAAGTAAAAGCGAATTGCCTTTTGACGTCAGTACTATTCTTCCTTTGAAGTTAGTTACTAATGGTCCTTTGTGTATGTCATCATGTAGGGGGCTCGAGAGTTAAACAATTGGTACATTCTGGAGCAGAGCATTTGTTTTAAATGAACAGCTATCGATTTATATTGGTGTTATCTCCACCACTGGCGAGCAAACATGTGTTAATGCCCAATCAATATAGGTAAGGTTAATTCAAACCAAGTCTAATGGATACGACAGACGCTATTATAACTTCGTTAAAACATACGTTCAGATTCCATTATCTAACCTCTTTTACCAAAACAATATGTCGGCCTTTTAAAACAATGATTTTATAGCACGGCGACAATTTTCTTGGTTCATGTTGACATTGAGTTTAAACATTTATATCAAGTCAACACACATCACAGCAACAAACACCAATTAGAGGTCAAAATATCATGTCAAAAGGGGGCATTGTAAGAAATATCGTGGGCAATAAAAGTAATTATGAAGATTAAGCATTTTCTGCACTATATATGACACTTGTCATAACTTTTACCATTACACTAAGAAATGTATGTAGCTCAACAACGATCTGATACACACTGAATGTCTATACAGCAAATAATGGGATATAATATTTAGGAATGAGGCCATATTGACGACACGTACCTAAGAGACTATGACCTTGTCTATTTAATTGATAAGTAATTTATGCTGTGAAATAATATAGATGATTTATATGGACGACAAGGTTTCATAATGACGATGCTGATGTACTGGTGATTTTTCTTTAAAGCGCTCTTAAGTTTTAAATAGTATTCGCAAAAGGATCGATAGTTGAATATTGTGAAACGTGGACGACTCATTTTGAGATTTACATTTTAGCCCAATACATTGATATTGACCAATGTACTTTCACCTTTAGTCAATACATATACGTTTTTTAGACAAAACAAGTCTGTTGTCTATCGGACAATATACAGATACATATTACGCAATACAAATTTCAAAACCAGATATCGGCGGCATATTCAGTTTGCCCGGCTTAATAAATGTCAACAATATAATATCTGGGGAATGTCTGTTCATTTTACTAAAACTCGATTATAACAATATATTTGGGGGAGGGGGGTTAGTATATTCAGAAATTTTTTTACAGATATAATATCCGGGGCGAGATCAGTATACCGAGTTTACAAAATCTTGACAATACATTATGCTCAGGAAAATTCAGACGGCTTAGTTTGCCAAATATCTGCGATAGAATATTCAGGAGAAATTCAGCAAGCTCCGCTCACTTGATTTGTACAAAAAGAAATGTCCCATCTGTCGATGACATGTCTTAAGAGACATTACTTATTAAAATATATGACAGTATAACAGTATCTTTATCGAAAAATTCAAAATCTACGATTTGTTAAACATAAACATCAAGATAAGTATGATGGAAGGTTTGGATTGTTCCCTTACTTTACCACAATAATGCGTTACCTGTGTGTCCCCTGAACGAGGATCCTCAGCTGGGCTAGTATCCGCTTCTCTATCACTCATATCGTGTCGGTATACCTATCTGCTCTAGACTGAACGCTGTTTATCTCTCTGTATCTATCCTATGATGTGCTTTAAACCCGATAATACGGTCGGCAGGTAATGATTTTTTACAAAAGCTGTACCACATGATAAGGGTGGGTCGATAGTGAGAACAGGTATTCTCCATTAAAGCTCAGATTTATATTGACCAATGTATCTACCCGAGTGATTCTAAACAAAATTTTAATGGACTTTCTCATAAACCAAACACAAAACCATGTCTACCTTATGGCATGTAGTCAATAACTGTTCTTCTAATATTTCAATAATATGGAATATACATAACTTGCAAATTTAATATATAATGATGTTTTGCTTTTTGTTTGTTAGTATTTTACCTGACAAAGTGTGTATATGTAACAATCAGTACTCGTAAAATAGTAATATACCACAGATAGAAGAATAAACAAATGACTTAAATCATAAAAAAAATATTTTAATGGCCATTCAATGTTCTAAACACTTCAAACATTGTCGCCCATTTAACGTTTTACTTTAGAAGGTGTATGATAAATCACTGAACAACAGGAGTGCGTTACTGGCAGCGAACCAAAATCATTTTAGTTATAGAGGAGGAGCGAGCTGATCAGGAAACAATGAAGAATTTCAGAATATTAATCACTGTATTATATAGGCTACAATTGTAACATTTCACTCTGTTGGCAGATTCTTTGGTTTTCGAGGTTTGTCGTAACCTTGATTACCCCAGTTTCCGTTCATAATTCACACACTTTACTACTTCACCAATGGTTTAATTTGAAATTAACCAATTTTTTTCTTTATCTTTAAGTTTATAAATTAAGGGGATTTGTGAACCTGCCCCTCTTTTTGTACAGTATTTTAGACAACATTTTGGTCACTAGCATCCTAGCATCACCGATGAGTCCTAGAAGGACGAAACAGCTGCATGATGCAGTATAATTCATTTCCGGCTTACTGTATCGTTTACCAAAGTTTAAAGGTGCAGTCGGCAGTGTGTATTACGTTCATCTTTCATCATTTAAATTGTAAAGGTATTCGAAAAACTGCAAATAACGAGTAAGGCGGCGTTTAAAGGCGAATAGCTGGCCACACTCTACTAAATCTTATCAAATCACGTATCAATTTAATGTCAATTACTCGTTACATTATACTACTTCAACTAATAGTCGCATACGTGTTCCCAAAACGCTTGGATTAAGTGTTGGCCAATATGCATAAACAGGTATAGATTTATATCAAAGTCAGTCATGTAGTAAAATAACAAAGACAACTTACCGTGTCTGTCATTTGAGACGAAATTCGGTAAACAGTTCCTAAAGTAATGTCCCAAAAAAACTAATAACAGATTTCAACGGCGTAAAAAAAACGTAACCTTTGGCAAGAATACCAACGCGAGAATGCCTAGGGGCCTTAAGAAACAGGTAAGAACATTGCTCCAGTAGATCCATACAAATTAGCATATTGCTCAGATTATAAGCGGCGGCCGGGCCTATAATACAAATCAGACAATGGTTTAGACTGAAGTTCTGATGGAGATTTGATAAGCATCTAGACGGAACAATGGACTCTTAGTGGCGGCCGCCCGACTAGTGTCCTATAATCCATATTGCAGACAGAGCTCTGACATTAATATCATGGAGTATATCATTTGTGAGGAGAGGTGCTAGCTCTTCAAGCATTATACGAGACAGACGGGTTGCTTTTTCAAACTGCTATCGATAGGACAACAAGTTGTAGAGATGTAAATCAAATAAAACATCAAAAGAAGGAATTTCCTAGGATTTGTTGTCATCACACATTGATAAGTATACAATGTACAAGGAAGCATATGGTGATGTCTCCTGTCTCCTCATGTCACTGACCAGTTACTAAACGGCAAACAGAGAGATGTTCTTTAAGAACTTTTGGACTATATATTAAGTAATTTTCAATATTGGTTCAACACTAGTGTACTTTATACTTTTTAAGATGATTTCTCGAAAATGTGTCCCGAAGAAACCAATGACGCATCATGTGTGCTAACTACCTTGTCAGCATAATCAATACAGCTGCTCTGAGCTGGCAAAATTGACAGCAGAAATTTTGAAAAGGACCAATGGCATGTACAAGTTCAATAATGTCACACAGCAAAAATATATCATTGCATTCGTAAAACAATTAATACGGCTGGGCTTGTGCGAACGTCTCTTGGAGATTAAACCAAGCATAACAAGCTCAACATGAGCATTGACCAAGAAAGGACAAAATTTGAAAGACTGTAAAATTAATTATTATTTGACAATCCCAATTAAAATTAGCCACGCAATCCTAGCCGGAAATGACTTATAAATAATCGTGTAGGCGGCCTTGTCTTATACCTGTATCACAGTTTTACACGCTACTGTTTAGCTTGAAAGGTTTCAGGAATTTAAACTAACGTACCAAGAAACATTAAAATATATTAAAGTCAGAATATTGAAACATATAAACCTATCCTTAAAATGAATTGAAATATCATTTAATTTAAATAAAAGTGAGATGGTATCGTCATTTTGATAGTCTCTTAACGACAACAGTTAGTTAAAACGCCGAGAGATATATACAGTATATATTAGGTATCGCTTGATAAATAGATCGTGTAATAGGACTTGTATTGTGGAAACAACAAAATCTGAATCCAATGAACCGTGAACATTAACGTCAAAGATTGGCGTCACTGCTTTACATGTCCTCGTAAATAACAACAATTGTTAATGTAAGCGTGGCCTCGACTTATTGCAAATATATGGTCGTTTCTATTGTAGGGTTAATCCAATTACGGAGCAGATAACATGGATTTAACGGGGGCGTACTCCAAAAGCATAACCTCGACTGTGACGTCAGTATTGTGAAAGCTGGTACGGCTAGGAGACCTTCACAGTAACAATATATTATTTTTTTAAATAATAAACATTTTAAATTGCCATGCTAATATTTTCTGTCTAGGTAAATATTTAGTGAGCATTTAAACCCAAATTTGTGTGTTCATCCTTGAGTGATTTTAACAAGTCTGTCCGGTTTCGACTTGTCGCTACTATTGATATATATATATCGCTTTAGAATATAAAATCGTGATTTAAAGTTTTGCCTTATTTACAAAGACTTGAAACGTAATGAGACGAAAATGTTGTTGGTCTTTTCTTGTTTTGTTCCTGAGAGTTTTTCATTGATGTAATTTATTACGGTGTTTTAGAATTGCTAAGTGTTTGAAGATCCGTATTCGACTCTTGTGTAATTGTAATACAGGTTAAATGGCATAAGTTGTCGTAGTTTCAACCTAAACGACTTTAATATGCTTTTGAAAGACGGATGGGACACTATTTCTGTGAGTTATACTTTTGGCCTATTTCATGAAGTAGAGATATCTTGCATTCGTGTTTATTGTTTGCATTTAATACACAAGCTTAGATAAGCAATAGTACATGGCACGTCTTCAGATTAGCTCAGATGTCTGGCATACTTGAGTAGCTATTGTCGGGTTTGAAACACAGCAAATGTGAGCCACCCTAGTCAGGGCCTAACAATACATTTAATGTCAAACCCACACATGTCGGTTTACACACATATATATAACACATACTACCTAGCTGGCTTAAGCATATTACACAATAGACAATTCCGAAAATAATGTTTATTATCTCAATACACTTGTGCAAATGATAAAGAAACACCAGTCTTTTGTAATTCTTTGTTAATAGTGTAGGCAATTTGTTCTTAAGAGTTAGAAGAGATGGCAATTGTATTTACTTGAAAAAGGTGGTTGCGTAACCAGGCGATATACATAGATTTGGGGGAAAACGAACCAAACTCAATACATCTTCAAAACAGTAAACGTTAACTCCTTGACAAGTTGTCTGTAAAATCTGTTAAAATTGGTGGGAGGGGCTGGCTAAATAACCATTGGGAAGCTCGTAGACGACCGACGTAAAACAAATATGGAGGAATAAAAGACAGTACGCTTTGTTGAACTTCAGATACGGAGATATTAGTACAGGTCATGTCAGGGGAAGTGAAAAACGAATGTCATCTCTTCACGCTCAATAATGGTGAATATCTTATATTGAATCTGTGATTATTTTTTCTTGAAATTCACCATCCGTGCAAACTGTTATGCAAAACACCAGATTACAAATACTTAATATACAATCAAGCAAGTTTCGTATTTAATATGTTAATGTTTCTTATAAGATACGTCACCCGTGCATTTTGGATCACGTCAATGAAGTAATAAACTAGCTTATAAAATACACAAGTCTAGTATTTTAATGGTATTATGAGTGACATCTACAGTAAACATGTGTTTCTATTTAGTTGTTCCATCACTGCGATAGACCTTACCTTTTGTGTCTCTTCGTTGTCCCGATTCGTAGCCTGTCAGTGAGGGGTACACATACATTGGGGATTTAGTAATTAATATCATTGATAACATTGCTTTCTTCGTCAATTTCATTTTGGAATTATTTGTTGTAAATGTGGATTTTTTCCCTGTGGAAATTTCACTAAGAAAACATTTATGCAGACTACTTTGAAACATTTTCAAATTTGGTTTTACTTAAAATCAAAACGTGAACATTTCGATAAAATTTCCACACGTAAAATAACCACTTTCACAGAACATGTAGGATACAAAACCCAAATGACTGTCAGAAATATTCACGGGATGTACACAATGTACGACACAAAAAAAGTTAAGCAAACATGCAGATAAAATATGTATAGTTTGTGCATTTCATATTATCTAAAGCATGATCATAAAATGTAAATAATAACATAAACCCCACCAAAAATAGCCCTTTCAAACCGCAATATATTTACCCCACGAAGAGTTGATCCTCTGGCATTGTTTGAACATGTTCTTTCGGTATTGATTTCGCCTATATATCGGTATTGGTGACAATATGTGTGTCTAAGATTTTTCATTCCGTTTCGAATTCGCCCTTTCGTTCATGGACGAAATTGGCGAAAATATAACTGAAGCGAAAATTCACCTGTTTGCGATATCAAAAATTCTAGCAATGAAAAATCAAAACAAAAGTTATTCGAAGTTATGCACTTAGTCATGCTCAGAAAAAGAAAAAGAAATGTACAAATAAAAAGTCAGGGTGAAACTGAACGTGCTGTGTGTTTCGAGTCATTTTTTAGATGTTCTGAAATATATCTGTTGCATGCATCACAGGTACGAGGATACAGCTGTGCTGACACACAAACAACTTCTGAACACCATGGACACACAGTAGGGAAACCATAGGTAATTATAAACAATTACTATTCACATAACATTTAAACTAAAAACTATACAACTTGCATGCTACACCATTGACAGACAAAGCAGGTGGGTTCATAGCACATGAGTTCTTACCAGAGTTCCTCTCAGGGGTTCGATATTTCACCTTTCATACCTAGCTCAGTCCAGTACGTATAAAAAGTGTTGATAATAAAGTGTTCTTTAATTTAAGTTTGTAAAGTCTTTTCAATTCATAGAATAATGTACCTGTCTTTAGCCTAAAGCAACAACCGATCGGACTCACACCATCGTTTGTTCGTTACATCATGTTTTGTCACGTAAAATTGACAACCACCCCCTTTGTGTATGCAGTACTTTTGTGTGGGTAAATTTACCGATAATTCTCGTCTATTTAAAAAATATGTGAGCAGTTCTTTGTGTAGGAAAATTTATCAATAATTCTAGTCTATTCAAATTTTAGTTGTCGTCGTTCACATGTTTCTTTATTGAATGGGTGCATTTAGTGTGTACTGGACCAAGTATTACGCTAACTGACAGGAAACCATCTTGTTAAGTTATATAACAAAAAAACTATTAAAATATAAAATTTCACAATGTAATTATTTTGTTGCAAGAGACACTATTGATTAGGTCTACTAATTAGTTGACAATGTACCACAGCTATAAGTAAATGAATAACAGAAACAAAGCCCATTTCTCCATGAAGGGAGGCATTCTTATAGTGGTTCATTAAGGAACTCCTTCATTAAGGAACTGCAATATCAAAATTGTCTGCTGAACGATATATTACACTGCAAGATGTTATCTGTTCATCCTAGTCACTCAACCTACTGAAATTTGTCACTAATCTATCAATATCATTAATTCTCGAGAAGGACAATATAACCCTCTGCACATTTAGTCATCCATGTTTTTAACGTGGTTTTACATCCTGGTCACACAATTGTTAGTAAACTCATTAAAATTAGCGATCATATCTGTCTCTCTGAACACCGACGAAGGACTACACTACACGTGACGCCATTACCCAAAATGCATGAGCAATGACCGACATGTGTGCAGTGTTGGTACCCGTGGGTTCGAACACCCCTGAGGAGAAAGTCTGAAACTATAAAGTGAAAGAACTCACGGGCAGAGCAGACCGAGGCGTGCGAGATACGGGAGGGGCAGCGGCCGTGCCGTTCATGCCCGTCTTGCCTACATTTGGGGAGGTGGCGGGGCGTTGCTCTGCTTTCGTCGCCGAGCTGCTTCCGGATCCCATACTTCCTGCTTATGTTAAGGTCTTCTTACATCACTTCTGAAATGAAGAGGGAAAAGATCAAATCAATAAATGATATATTCCTGAACTTGAAAATAAAATATTTGGAAACGACTTTTAGTTTTGTTCTGCTTAGATATAAATATCCTGTTCTTCATCAGCCAAAGGCTTTCTTCTTCGTTTCTTCAAGATAAAACTAACAGAAAAAAGATCATAAATTTAAACAAACCGTTAATGTGAATATATCACTGGAAAAAATGTTCTGCTCCTTTGTTATCCAACGTAAGTATTGTTTTCAACCACTAAGAGTCTGTATCCATATTTAACACAGCTGTCCCCGGTGATATACGAGCTGTAAAGTAGGGCTAACTCCACTCACCGTCCAGGATACGAGCACAGGTGTTTAAATGGTATGTACTCCTAATACGATACAGGGCATGGTGTTTATTAAATGGTATGTATACCCCATTGACACAGCCATCAACTGTTTATGGTATCCCGACACTTCAGTCCAGTTAACGCATGTCTTTGATATCTAAAAATAGATGTATATATCCTGTATCTTTATAGTTAAATTTCCCTTCGAACACAGAAATGCTGTATTAACAGGATGGTGTGAAGTACAGTACCCGTTTTAAGTCATACCAATAATGGCGAGCGTGACTGTGCGTGGGAAAACTTTCCACCATGACTATGCATACTTCACGGTTACGCTCTTGATTATCTTTTCATCAGTCAATGTATTCATATATCTATATATAATATC